TCAAGTAAAGGCAATTTTATTGAAAACAAGAACAGAAAAAAAAACCAAAAACAAACCCCCAAGCCAACCAAACAAACAAACAAGCAAAAAACCAAACCAATTTGGGAACCACTGAGAAACAACATACATAGAGAAACAAACCTGAGTGAACTCCAAGACCAAGATTCATGTTGAATCAGTGTTTCAGCCTGGTCCAGAGCTGTTTAGCATCTCTGGTGATAATGTTGGTGTTGGATTTTAAAAGGCCCTGAGACCCGTATCCCACTGGAAGTGGGTCCTGTCCCTTTTGTGGATGCCCTTCTTCTTCCACGGATGAAGGATGCTAAACTGCATGTTCCTTCTTCCTGAAGGAGGAATAGAAGGTGCCTTTTCCTTCCCTCTCAGTGTGCTCACACATACATTGAGGTGACTGCTCTAGATCTTCAAGTAGCTCCCAGAAATAACCCCGGCTTCCAAGTATAGCTGATTCCACCGTCTCCCACCTTGACTTCTTGGCCTCAGACAGGGAGAAGACAGAAATACAAACAGGAAAAGTGAGCTGAGAAATCAGCTTTGCTGTCTAGATGGTGCCTCCTATGAATCTGGGCTCCAGGCATATGTCAAGACAAGAGTGTGAAGCTATTCTCTGTGCCAACCTGGGCTACTGTACCCCCATACAGCAAAACTCTGCACATTCAGTCTCCCAGAGAGCATCAGCCTTCCTGGGCTCACATGAGTTCATATCCAGGCACTGCACCAGTGGGACATTGTCTCTATGCCACCACTAATTCTGGCATCGCAGTCCTCGGTAACAGATGCAGCTAAAGCATGCAGCTAAAGCTCATCTCCAGCCACACAGACTGACCTCCAACTACAACTTACAGAGTTTTGGACTCCCTCCAAGATACTCCCTCCTGGACAAATGGCAGCTGCCTTCCCTGCACACTCCTTCTCATAAATTTGATGCATTTCTTGGCTTCCCCCAAAGGTAGATAAATCATACCTGGGAGTCCTACAGCTACTGAAGAAGATACTCCTATCTGCTTTTTGATCACTTAGCAGATTAAACTACTTGTTTCTGTCTCATTCATAACCCTTCAGGCAGCTCGGGCTACTGACAGAGCACCAGCTGCAGAGCTCGCTTTCCCCAAAACCCCTTGGGAAGCAGGTCGCCACCTTTTCAGCTGGAGAAGGGGCAGCATCTGCCAGTATCTTAGCCATGTGCAAGCCAGATCATCCCCCCAAGGTGTGGAGTTGCTCCTGTTACACCCTGCATTAGCTACAGTCATTGCTTGGTGAATTGTTCCTACAGATGCTGCTGCTGCACAAGGTAAACATGGTGTCAGCCTGGAGCTGCAGGAGCTGCACGCCTATAGCCAATAAACCTCACCGTCCTGGGGTGCAGGGAGGAAGACCAAGCATTTTTGGTGCTGCTGCCACAGGACAGGTAACACAATGTTGTTTCCAGCAGTAAATGTTTTCCAGCTGGCCAGGCTCCAAGCTGGAGGAATCAGAAAGTCAGTAACAGCAGCCACAATTCTCTCACCAACCTCTCAGCTTGTGTTCCTTATGCAGGTAACAACCTTAGCTTCTACACCTGCCCCTTTTTAGCAGAGGAACACAGCTGGGCTGCAACTTCATGCATTGATGTCTGGGGCACACTTACGGCCTGATGGGAGACCCGAAAGCAGACTGGTGACTTGAGTGGTTGCAGGAGCTTGGTAAGCCACCTCCGGCCTGGCATTGCCATCCCCTCCCTCCGATGTCTTCAGCAATGCCAGCAGACCAAGAAAAGCCAAGGCGAAGCAGACCCAGCAAAATGCAAGGAGCAACATGTGGCATGCATCTTGCTTTGTATCATCACTCTCTTGGTCTTAGGAGTGCAGGGAAAAAACTCCCAGAGACACTTTATTACAAACAACAGGATAAAAAGATTTATTTCCATTGCAAGTAGAAGAGTAAATATAAAAAAAAAAAAAAACCAACTCTGATACATAATAAAATGTTCTCCTAGGCTGTAACCATCCACCCCTTTCTTAAAGTCAGCAAAGGGCCTGACCACACCAGAGCTCCTCAGGCAGAACAGGAACCAAGAGACTCTGTCGTTCAAGGACGGAGCACTTTCAAGGACCTTCTCTCTTCTCATCAGTGCTTACACTTAGTGTTTCCTACAGGGTTATAACCCAAACCTACTAGACCCTTACTCCAAAAATCAAAAGATTAGTTTGAAACTTAGACTAACTGTGCTAAAAGGAAGGCCCTCAGATATTTATAATAAGGCTTCCAGAAATCACAATTTTCCTAATTTTGGACAGTGCCTGAAAATTACAAGCAAAGTGCCAGGCAAAATAAAAAAAAAAAATAAAAAAAAAGAGATCCAAATGTTGAACATATCCCCATGGCACAAGCATACATTGAGATGTAATTGTCTAACATATCCCCCACGGCATATCCCCATAGCCTCACAGGCAGGCTCAGCCCCATGGCTCCCCAAGGACACAACAACTTGTATCTTCCTCTGTCAGTGGTCACGCAGGAGACACACAGCCACATGCACCAGCACAGGGTCAGCGAACCCTGCTGACACAGGGTAGAGCCTGGACAGACACGTGATGTTCAATGCACCCGCTGCGCCTGAGCCTGCACGGCAGCCTGGGGAGGTTGCAGTAGGCACAAAACCACAGCGGCGCTGGTGGGAATGGATCTCTGGAGCCTCCACGCTTGCTGCAAGCAGGAGATTGGAGCATTGCCAGCACTAGCACAGGGCAGGTATAGCATGGTCAATTTTTGCATCGAAAACCCCAAAGGGGAGACCTCGCTAGGATGTAGAGTCCCTCAAAGGGTCCATATAGCTCATTACTAAGCACAAAGCTCTTATCCATGGTTTCCAGCTGATTGTGGATCAAGTTTAAGCCGTTTGTGGCCATGTGTCTCAGGTCCTTGTGCAACAGGCTCACCACTGTACCTGCTGCAGAAAGCATGCTTTCTGTGTATGTCTGGTTTCCCTAGCTTGTAGGTAATAAAAGGTCTGAAGAGAAATAACAAGCATCTAAACCTTATCCACAAACAATACACAACCAAACCTACCCAATTTGTGCCTTCTGAGTCATCAAGTTCTATCATGCATGTCCTCCAGACACTGAGTTTTGCTCCCTGAAGTTGCTGCAGATGCTAAGTTCAGGAGCAGCTTGCACAAGACCTGTATCACCAGTGGTGCCTTTTTTTTAAACTGAAACTTAGACTAGCACCAGGGCTGGTGCAAAGAGTAAAACCAGGTTGAAGTAACGGGGAACAAGGGCCAGAAGACCTCTAGACTCAGGGAAACGATTCAGTCCACACTGACAATTGCTCTGACAGGAAGGAAGAACGGAAGGCATTAAGGCAGGACAATCCCTCTCCCAGCTACCCCCCAAAGCAGCTAGCAAACCTGCCAACAAAGGGATGCAGTGCAATCCTTGCAGGAGATACAGGCAGAGAGCCAGCAGGCAGCTGTCACAAAACTAAGAGCTGGCAGAGCCGCTTCTCTTCCAGCTGGTGAAAGGGGAAGCTGGGAGAGGAGCTGGCACAGCAGCCGAGGTGACCTGCCCCACGCTGAGGTAGCCAAGCTGCAGAGGTGGGACTCTGCTGTACCCAGGATGGAAGCAGCTTATAGACATGTCAAGACCAGGAAGGACATTGAAAGAGACAATACAGCTCTTCAGGAGGGAAAGCAAGGATGGAAAACATCTGATTCACCTCACCGAAGATGGGAATGATGCCTGCACTTGCTGCTTTGTGCCCCCCGCGGCAGCAATGTAATGCAATGTAACCTCCCCAGCTCTGTGTACAGGCGGCAGTTTCCTGCAGTACTACAGAAGAGGTCCAGATGGACCAGGGTCAGCAGCACCAGCCCAGCCCCAGCCTCCCAGCCCATGAGGTAGCTCACCCAGAATGTGCCGTCCCTATCTCTCTGAGAGAGGGGTAGGTGCCCTGAATCCAAAACTCATTTCCTACTTCAGAACCCCAGGGAAGGCAGAGAGACAACTCTTCCTGTGCACCTACTGCAGAGAGCTTTAGCCTCCCCCACCCCAAACTGTTCTGCGGGGACAACCCAAGCACCTTCCCACCCCACTCCGTTTCCTCCCTCTCATGTCCTGCTTGGATACCTGGAGTATCGCATGCAGAGAAGAACCTGTGTCTACACAGATTTCATCCTGCTGATGAGCTCACGTGAAAAATTCTCCATGGAGCAGAAAGTACAGGTGTCTTCATGGGATCGGAGCTCTTTGTAGCAGTGCATAGCAGCAGGACAAGAGACAGTGGACATGAAAAGAGACTAGAGAGGTGCTGAGTGGATAAAAGGAGAAACTTCTCCCCCATGAGGGCAGACAGGTTGCCTGAAGAAACAGCACTGTCTCCATCCCTGGAGGTTTTCAGGACGCACCTTGGTAGGCTTGAGCAAACTGTACAGGTTATAGCTGACTGTCCTTTGAACACAACTGTGGAGCAGAAAATACCCAACACACCTCTCCCAACCTGAGTTATAGTATGATCTGTACCCTTTTGTGGTGGGAAGAGACCCTGGTGTATGTACACCCCCACTGCTCTTCCAAAGCCCCTGCTGAGGCTCTGACTGCACTTTCCACCTACCTCTCTTCATTCCTGCTCCCACCACTCTGCAGCACCCCTCACCAACCTCCTCCTGGCTCCGATCACACATGGTCCCACCTCCACAGTAAAAAGTAGCTGTCTAAAGAGATTTGGACGGTAGCAGCACTATATCTGCCCCTCTCCGCTCACAGCCCCTGACAGAGCCCCGCGGCATCCACCATCTCACCGGGAACCTTTCAGGGGTGGCAGGATCTGTTGAGAGGAATTTTCACGAGTTTCCCCATGGATCTATTTTCAAGCCCTTAACGGCTGTTGCTATCAGTTGTCCCCTCTCTGTGTTTTCCTCTAGCCTTTTTTCCAGCTATCCCTTGACAAGGGAGCAATCAAAGATAAAAAGTCACCACGTCCTGCCTCTCACTCATTTCAGGAGTTTCCCCCGGGTGCTGATTTCTCTAGGTTACAGACAGAGCTAGGCTGACCTTAAGATCAAAGTAATTTGGGATATATGGACCTCCACAGATCTCTGGACCAGGTCTCCACTCAAAGCAGTTCCAAGTTCAATGCTGGATCCCACCCAAAGACAGGTCAGGTCGCTCAGGCTCTGTGCAATCAAGTTGGGAAGACCCTGAAGGACAGAGAGCCCAGGACCTCACTGGGTCCCTCTTCCAGCGGCTGAACGTGCTCATGGTAAAAGTGTTTATACTTCCAATCCCACATTGTCCCACCACTGAAGCACAGAGCATGACTCCCGTCAGGATTTTACTTCCTGTGTTTGGCTGCAATCCCAGCACCCAAATCTTTCCCAGCCCTGGTCCTGTTGGTTGTTGGTGCAAAGCCCGGCATTACCACAATAGCCCTGCGCACCATCAGGGACAAACCACCACGTTAGTGTCACACGTCCCGCTTTTACAACTCTGGCTATGCGAGGCTGCAAAATGCTTCCTTCTGCCTCCCTCGTCCCCCACCACAGCAGACATTTAGTTCTGTAAATAAAATCATTAACAGCGAGGAGATTGTTAGAAGTGAGATCTTCTTGGACAGACTAGGGAGCCCAGCTGAGTGGGCTGGAAGGATGAGCACCTGTCAGGAAGCAGTGGGCACCTGTCCCAGAAAAGGCAGTAGAAAAGGAAAGGGCTGTTTGCCCCATCCAGGCACTTGGGAGCCCCTAGGGCTTCTCTAGAGAGAGCAGACAGGGCTGAGCAGGGTCCCGCAGGTCCGCACAGCTGGCGGTAGCGCTCCTCGCCGGGAGTCTGGGGCAGGTGGCATGACGCAGAGCCGCAGAACAAAGTCCTCCAGCATCTTCCCGGACGGCCGCGGTCCAGCAGCGCCGGGCGAACCCCGCAACCGGCTCTCTGCTGGGCTCCGGTCCCCGCTGTCGGGCCGCCCGGCCTCTCCGGCGCTGCGTCAGAGCGGCGGGACGAACCTGTCGTGGCCGCCGGGGTAGGCTCCGTGCAGCGGCCCGGGATCGGCGGCGCCCAGCTGTCCGCCTGTTCCGTAGACGTGTGGCAGCGGCGGGTACGGCACGGGAGAGCGGCGGCCGTAGAGCCCAGCGGGGGCTGGCGGCGAGGCGGGCAGCACGATGCGCCCCGACGGCGCGTACACCTGGCCGGGGCCTCCCGGCGCATAGGGCGCGGGGCCGGGGGGCAGCGGTGCGTATCCGTGCGGCAGGGCGGAGGCGCAGCTCTGCGCGGGGAATGCAAAGGCGGCGGCGGCGAAGGAACAGGAGGCAGCGGCGGGTGCCGGCGGCAGGTCGGCGGTGGGCGGCGGGGCGGGCAGAGGGAAGAGGCGGCAGGGCTCGTCGGGGCGCTCGGCGAGGAAGGCCGGGTAGGTGGAGAGATCGCTGCGCTTGAAGCGCTTCCTGCGACGGAGGAAGGAGCCGCTCTCGAACATGTCGCGGGCGTGAGGGTCCAGCGTCCAGTAGTTGCCCTTGCCAGGGCGGCCGGGCTCCCGTGGCACCTTGACGAAGCAGTCGTTGAGGGTGAGGTTGTGACGGATGCTGTTCTGCCACTTGCGGGGGCTGTCGCGGTAGAAAGGGAAGCGCTCGGTGATGAAGCGGTAGATGCCTCCCAGCGTCAGTCGCCGCTCGGGCGCTTGCCCGATGGCCATAGCGATGAGGGCGATGTAGCTGTAGGGCGGTTTGCCCCGCTCCGCAGGGCGCTTGCGCCGCCGTCGGCCGCCCCGCGCCCCTAACTCCGCCGCCGCCTCCTGCCCCGGCGGCGCAGCGTCCGCCTTCAGCGGCGGGGGCAGCGGCGGCAGCGGCGGGGGGCCAGGCGGCAGCCGGCTCTCGGCGGTCATGCGGCCGTCGGGGCGGCCCCGCGCTAGGCCGAGCCGAAGAGGCGCAGCTCTGCGCCGCTGCGGCTTTTATGCGGCGGTGTCCGGCTGCTCCGCGCCCGGACGGCCGGCACTCCCCCTGCAACGCCCCGCAGCCCGGGAGGCGCAGGCAGGGCCGGGCGTGCCGCGCCGCCGCGGGCACGGGCAGGGGCAGCGCCAGCCCCCCTCCCGCGGTCCCCGTTCCCCTCCCGCGGTCCCCAACCCCAGCGCCATCGGGGCGCCGCTATCCCTCTCGCTGTCGTTAGGAGCGCTCAGCTCTGGCGGAGCGGCAGGCAGCGGGAGGGTCTCCGGTGTTACGGTGCGGTGTCCCGGCATGGACTTTCCCAGATTCCCTCCTGAGCGGCTCCGAGACGGTTCTGCCGGCGGCTGAGGAGAGGCGAGGTGCGGTGCGGTGCGCGGCCGCCGCTGTCCGCGGGGATGCTAGCTGTCCGCGGCACTGGGAAGGGTCGCCCTCTCAGCCCTACGCTTCTTCACAGTAGTGAAGAGGCAGAAACGAAATAAACGTTGCTACCCCCTCAACCCAGTGACAGATGTGTGTGGGGAGAGATAGTAAGTGTGGGCTTACACAGCACAATTGGAGTGCCGAGTTGCTATGTAAGATACGGTCAGAATGGGGCTCTCACCTGCGGTCCCCTACAGCAATTCGGCACACGAGAGCTGGACTCTCGTGCCTTGTTTTACCCTGGTCAGACCTGCTTGTCCTTGATCCTTGTGTCGCAGGATTTCCAGGTACATGGTCCTTCCAACTAGGAAGGGTCTTTCCACCGGCTGTGTCTGAGATATTACCTGCCTGTCAGCTTTCTCCTGCTTGCTCAGATAGTTGGGGCTGAGGTTCAGATCCTCGGTCTGTGGGTTAGAACAAGTGCTGTAAGTGCACACAGTTGGTGAGGAACGCTTGGCCAGGGTTTGTACCCCTGCAGCACCCACCCGCGGGGCTGGAGGCAGCACAGCCTCCTTGCTTGCTGTCATGGTCATCCTTGGGAGCCCCGGGATAAAGGGAACGGCAGGAGGTCCTAGAAGTGGGATGAAAACGGTCAGTGCGTGCAGGTGTGCACAGGGATGCGTGGGCATGGCAGGGTGAGCATGCAGGCAGGGTGAGCACGCACAGGTACATGTGTGTGCAAGGGCAGTGTGGGGTTGAGGATGTGCATTAGAGCTTGTGGCTGTGCATTGACACGTGAGTGTGCGGTCAAACATGTGCCAGTGTGCTGGATCCACGGCATGAGTGTCCACAGGTATGCAGGAACGGCTGTGGGCAGCTGTGTGCACAAGGTGGATGTGCATACGTGTGCAGCTTCTGTGCGTGGCTGTACAGCCAGTCCTGCCACTGTCTTAGTGCCTTCTGTCAGTTCTCCCAGAGCTTCGGTCTGAGTCTCTCTGTGGGCAAAGCTTTCCCAAAGCCCCCTTGCCCATCGCACAAAGGGTGTTTAAGGGAGTAAAGGGAAGCGGGAGATGTTTCTCCAAGTGAAGGGCTCCCTTAGGGTTCCCAACAAAGTTTTCTCTCTGCTTGGAGAAAAATTGGGGGGTGTGGGGTGAGGATCTATTTGTATGCAGCAAACAACCCCCAGCCCCGGTTTCTACCTAAATAAGGGCTGCAGAACTGTTTTTGCCACTTGCTTATTTGTGCAACTTCCCAGCGACCCAGCAAACCGTGGAGCTAGTAGAACAAGCCATGAAACAGCACTCTTGAGGACCCGTGCTTGCAGTCCCAGTAGCTGGATGCAGATTTCAGATCCCACGCTGCACAGTTTGTACCGAAAGGAGAATCAGCCTTCTGTTCTGACGCTGCTGCTCCTGAAGTATACACAACACTAGGATAGCGTTACCCTGGAGGAACTAAGAAACCGACTCCTTCAGCGGGAAAGGTGAGCAGCGGAGCTGCCTCGGAGGCAGTGCTCTGCCCTCTGGCTCCCGGGACGCGGCAGCCGGAGATGGGTTTTCCTATCAGATTTTCCAAGAGGCAGCGCGGTGGTTCAGTCGCCTCCGGCGCTGTGTGTGCCTGCGCCATGCCAGTTCCGTGCCTCCAGAGGGCAAAGTCAGATCGTGCTTCACTTCGCGCTTGCAGAAGGATGAGAACGAGCGAGGTGCGCGCTGGAGCGGGACGGTGTGCCGAGAAGCTGCATTTGCCCTCCCTGCTGGGGATGAGAATCCTTTTCCCGGAAAACGCTTTCCTTGGCAGACCCCAGCGTGTAAGCAGAGTGAAGCGGATACCCAAACAGCATGTGCTGGCTCTTGTGCCTTCTCATTTCCTCATCAGACAGGTTAAACTGTAAAACTGTAATGCCAGTGTTTGCGAGTGAAGTGGGAGTTGTATACTGTGGTGGCCTGGAGACAGTCCTCAAACTGACATTATCATCAGCCTGTTTAAAAACATTCTCAGCTCTGCACTCTGGGAGCAGGAATACGTCCCTTTTTAAGCACTCATGTTTCTCTTGAATACCATCTCCTATGGGGAAAACACTATGGGAAATGTGAAACTCAGACTCATCCAGGTGAATCTTAGACTGCACATCTCTTCCACTTGTAAATCAAAGCGTTGCCTGCTGCTGGAGCAGAAGAGTTGGTGCTTTTAATGTTTGTGAACATTTTGTTTTCTCTTTTGATTCAGTTACAGTGGAGGGGGAGCAAAGGTATGTAAAACAGAAAATGCCATGCATTGACTAAATATTTTGAGGTCATAATGCAATAGAAAATGTATGGTATCTACAGGAGTGTTAAAAATGTAAAAGCTACTTCTTTTATAGCTGGACTTTCTTTTGGTCTCTGGGATGAAGTCCAGAGGCAGCATTTTTTCCTGTGTAAATTTCACAGCTCAGATGCTGCCTTCACTGAGCTCTGCAGCCTTCAGCTGACCAGAATGGTCACTGATTCTGAGACCAGGCACTGCAGAATGTACCCTGCATAAGGGCATTAACCCTTGGCCTCTCAAGACTGGAGTGAGCACCAGTAGATGCTAGAGAGTTAGCCCAGCCAAAATCCCATCTGCTTGGATCTCCAAGAGCAATTTCCACTCATGGAAAAAATCCAGTCCTTTAGGCTTCATCCCCTGCACAGTTGTTCCCATATTACAAACTGCACCATTGAGATTCCTTGAGAGAAAACTACTCGAAAGCTCTTTTCTCCTTTGGCCCTGTGACCCGAGTTGCTTCTCCCACGTCAAGCAGAGGGAAGCAGACATTAAATGTGTGGACACATCACACTGCACAGTAACTGTAGCACACTCATAGTTTTGGTTCCACCAGCAGGACTCCTCTCCTCTTTGAGCAGAGGAAACATTTTGCTTTACCTCTGTGTCCCAGGAAGAACAGAGCTGCCTTTAATGTGCTCCAAGGCAAGGGCTAAGTAGAGCCAAAATCCCAAATGAGATTGGGTGAATGCAAATGAAGTGAGAGCACACACCCATAGCATAGCCTTCACTGCAGGCTCATTGCCCCTGCAGTGGGATAGAAAGGGTTTTTTTTTGTTTGTTTGGGGCTTTGTTTATTTTGTTTGTTTGTTTACTATTTTTATTGGCTCTGTGTTTAGTGCAAGGAGCTTGCTGTTCATGTGTCAGATGGTCTCCACACCATCATGCTGCTTTGTGACAAAGGAGCCCTACCTGCAGCTCATGATTGAGATCTGGGAGGGGACCACAAGCCTGAGTCTTGGAACAAAACAGATGATGAGAACATCCTTTATTCACTTTCACATCATGTGTCTGCAAAAAAAATATCCCAAGTCACTTAACTTAAGACAACTCACACCTGACTGGAGTTACTGGGAGGCAAAAGCAGAGAGGTGATTGCATGGATTTTGGAAACACTTTATACCCAGAGTGTGGCATGGGGACCCAGATGAAACTTCTGAGGGAGAAATGGTGTGCTGCTGCCACATGGAGTCCTGTCATGTGGCAGAAGAGGAGCTGGAAAGCAACAGACTAGTGGATGTGTCCATTGCATATTTGCATCAGATGTTCACATGCCTTGTCTTGTGAGAGCAACGTTTCACCTAATCAACAGGATGGTTGTTTATCATCCATCCTGTTTTTCCAAATTGATGCTGCTTTTCATCCCCTGGTTGAGTTTTCTATGGGAACTTGGGGTGCAAGACAGAAAGAATTGCCAGGATATAGCCAGGTTCATGAGAGAGGTTTGAGTTAGCTGTTGTGGTCATTCTTCTGTAGATCAAAAGAAAACCCATGGTGGTTTTAAAATAGGCCATGACCACGGGCTTTGGGAGGCAAAATGTAACTGGGGAGTGAGGTTTGGGAGCCTCATTCTCCATCCAGCATGGCTTCATGTGGGCTTGTCTGGAGGGCAGCAAGAGAGGCCACACAGCATGCTTGTCTGACAGCCCAGCATGTCCCCTGACTGATGGAGGGTGAGCAGCATCTGCAAAGGGCATTCTGTGACAGGCTTTCTCGGAGCAGGGCATCACCTCTGCCTGCTCTCTTGGGATCCCCTGCCCCATGGCGGGGAATTTGGTATGAGGGCAGTAGCAGAGGGACTGGCATACAGGATGGGGGATGTAGGTATTGTAGATGTAGTTTTGGTGCGTAGGGTGATGAACTGAGGGAGTAGCTCACATAAGAAGAGGCAGAGCCCCAGCCTGGAGGGACCCCAGAAATGGGAGCACTGGACTGCAGGAAGCTCACAAAGCCCAGCAAATGTGTTGGTGGGGCAGGACATGGGGCAGGATAACCATATGATTGGTCCCATCTGGGAAGAAACCAGCAGAGCCAGGGCCTTGCTGCAGTGGAGCTGGGGCACAGTGTGCATGAGACTGAACATGTGCCAGGAGTGACTCTTGCTGTGGGTAAGGCACGCTCTGTCCTGTGTTTCATGAGGAGGAGCACAGCTTGTCATGCACACCTAGGTCTGCGCCAGCACTGCCTAAACAGCAGGTTAGACATGCAACCTTGCTGTGCAAACTGGCAATGGGAGACTCATTTAACTAAGATACAGCGCCACAAGCCAAAGCAGTAG